TTCATCCATCCACCTTCTCACTAGGAATTCGAGTACTCTTCACGTCAAAGAGGAGTCTCAAAAAATGTTCAAACCCTGTCTCAAAGGTCTCGAAGTGTCTGGACTTAGAACGTGTCGATCCGTCTTTGGTTTTCGGGACGATCACCCAGCGGTCCGGGGTGACGACGGTGACGAGGAAGGCGTTCTGAGCAGCGTCACGAGCAGGGAACATCGTCTTTGGTCGCGGAGCTTGCTCCACTCCATGCTTGGTTGGAGGTGGAGGTGGGCGGAAGTACCTCTGTGTAGGACCCTAAGATCTTCTCTAGATTCTGAGTTCCCAAGCATCAAACCAGCCTCCTCCGCTCGGTCAAAGCCGTCCCTCGCCTCTCAGGTGACGCACGACTACTCTTCCAAGCGGCGAAGAATTGTTGGGATGCCCAAATGCAGACACCGCTGCCTATCAAGAATCCAGCCATTCCGAGAAGCGCGATGTTTTGGGGCAGCTTCTCCTGGGCATCCGGTCCATCCTGGTGCTGAAAAAGGGGACTCTATACGGACCCCCCTGACCCACCCCCACATCGACAAACTACCCTGGTGGACCCGTGGATCGGGTATGATGGGGTGATGTTTTCACTATCCCCTATGGGTTTATGATAACTTTGTTTTATCTTGTGTGTCTTCATGTGTATTCTGTATTCTTTGATTTTCTTTTTCACGGGTTCCCAACTGGCAAGATGCCCACTTGCCACGTGTTGTCATCCTTCCGAACTCCGCGCCTGCGCTTCCGAACTTGGCTCGCGCGCCACACACCAGGCCACGACGCACACCACAAGTTCGATGACCAGAATGTTTTGTTGTTGGAGAAGTTGTGATGTGGCCACTTGGTGCATGGAGAAGCGCATGGAGAAGTTGGTGCGTTGGACTGCGAACAGGGGAACAAGCCAACCACCCGCAGTTGCCAATGGATGGCCTGCAGTTGTTCGGGTGGTGTGCGTGTTGGGAGCCTGTGATGGTTGTTTGGCTTTGTTTTTCCAGGGAGGTGCCCATTGAAGAGTCTGAGAATATTGTTCTTTGTTTTCCTATAGTGGAATCCTTTTCCTGGTTCTCGTTTTGTAGCTGTTGTTGGTTTGTTTTTCTGCTTTGAAGCCTACTTCATGTACAACCTATACAAGTTCTTTTTTTGCATAGTCCCTTGTAGTTGCTAGCAGGTGGTGTGCAGCCAAATTTGTTCAAGAAAGTTGCGTTTGCATTGGCAGGGCCACAGAAAACTGTAGGTGGATCCATGGGGGGTGTCCTGACAAGAAACAACTTGTTCCTAGTAGCTTATTGTTTCTAAATAGCTTCTTGTTACTACTAGTAAGGCACTTGTTACTAGAAGCGATGCACTTGTTCCTAGTAGCTTATTATAGTGCTTATTGTTTCTAAATGTATATAATATATATACTCCCGAAAACTAACATGGAACTTGAGAATTGACCGGTGGAAGACCATTTTCTTCTACAAACCAGTGATTTTCAGGGTCCATGTGAGTTTTCAACGGTGTATAGTTATATACCTAGAACCTGAAGGACCTATTTTTGACCACCAACCCCCAAACTATGGTCTCCTCCTATCAAACCAGAGGTCAAGTTGCGTTCTAGGTATATACACATGTGCATACATATTTCATTTTGTGCTTTTGCACAGGCAGGCACTTATTTACTGAAACATCATCCGAAGGGCTTTTCTGGACTGGCAAGTGAACTGGTGGGTTACCTGCTTCCAAGGTCCAGGCCTCGCATGGATCTCCTCGCCGCAGAAAACAATACACATCACCGGGCGAAGTACCGGGCGATTTCGGGTGCTGTGGAGGGCCGGGACCGATCGGGTCTCCTATCGGGTCTCATGAGTATATAGAAGCGCCTGAGAATCAGGCGTTGGTGCACAGCAGATAGAATATATAGTATCCTTACATATCCTTACCTCGCATGATGCAATGGAGTTGTCAATGAGCAGAAGGCAGCAGACACTGGAGAACGGAAGGGTTTGGTTGTATTTGTGGACCCAACCGAGGAAAGGACATGTACCACAGGTTTGAGTTGGTTTGAGTAACAAGGGTTGGAAAAACCAATCAGAAGAGTTTGCAAGCAACTTTTCAGAACTGTGGCCTTGGGGCAACCAGGCGCAATCGTCCAAGTGGCATGGTTTTGGGGACTCTAGGACCAGTGGATTGCCAGTAGAGACCAGCTTGCTTGTGGTTACTGTATCTTCTGTTGCTTTTTGTGTATGCTACGTGGTGCCAGATGTCATTTGTTATACCACATGCCACACAGTGCCAGACGCTCCGAGACGCCTGCTCCTCGCCCGCGCGCGCCCTTATTTGGCCCACGAATGGGTGACTGGGTGCGTAACCAAGAGCAGGTGTAACGGTTAGAGCCGTGGGCCGTGGGGCAGGTAGATGATGGTCCAAGTTCCATCAGTTCTTTTTTTCAGTCATTGGTGCGATATGGCCAAACTGTTGCCGGAGATTCTTCTCACCAAATCATAAGTGTTCAATTGGAGAATACTGTACCATGTTCAAGTGCATCTTCAAGTTTGGCACGCATTGGCAGGCTGCGATTCCAGTGCACGCTGTGCAGAGATCCCAGAACAAAGCTAGAAGTCAGATCCATTGATAAACCAAACCAATCCAGACCGAGCTGTTGCCCACAGACAGGGTTTTTTCACCTCGTTGAACTGTACGAACGATATTCAACTTGCTTTGGTTGAACATTGGCACGATCAACCGACTGTTGGACATCGCCCAAGGCCTCCAAGGCCACGATTTTCCAGTACCGAGTCAACTGGAGACGGTTCACAGCTCCATTCAACTTTCTTGCGGTTTGCTTTTATTTTTCTTCTGTGCCCATGGCATCGACTAGTACTCCAGAAGAGGCCCGAGTCGCATCGTGAGAGCATTTTTCTATGGTTTGTTTTTGTTCCTCAACTTTTGCAATATATATATATTGTAGTATATATATAATATCGATATATATATATATATATTATGTGTTACACCAATGGCAACAAAGTAAAGAAGACAGACCCACAGGTCGTCAGACCCCCCCGGTGCATTCTTTCTTTAAAGTCTTTAAAGCAAGAGGTTTGGGTCTCGTCTTGAGGTTTTTGGCGACTCGGGGCATCTCAGGGGCACCGGTTGTATCAAACCCTCCCCGACCCAAATTGCCAAAGGCTCAGTCTCTCCCCAGAAGTGACTGCGGCAGAGCCGATGTTCAGCCACCGTTCCGTTTTTGGTTGGGCGACGCGTTTCCTCGGCTTTAACCCAACGAAAACCACATAAACACATCAGACAGGAGCCCCATGTCATCACTCTCCCGGGGTCTTAGATCTCAAACTGGGCAGCCCAACCCGAACCGAGAGGGGTCGGCCGTCCAGGCGGCTTCGACCGAGGTGGGGACGGGTGGGGACGCTGGGCTCAGCTCACTGCTGAGATCCCCTGGTCTTGGAGATGGGGAACATGTTGAACATGCACCGGGCTGGACAGAACTGCATGACTTAGTACGATCTTGTGCGCTCACTTCGCAAGTTCCTCAAGATTGAGGTGCCTCAGACGCAAGTTCTTGTCATGATCTTGCTCCTTTCCAGCGCCATGTACTCGCCCCTTGTCCTTCCAATTCCCACTCAATCAGAAAGCGACTAACAGGATCACGAAGAATATCTAAATCAAAACAACGCATACGGTTCCAAGCGTATACGGTTCCAACCACCATTGATTTATGCAATCTTACTAATGTCAATTTGTTTGCCGGACTGCCGGACAACAAATTTATAAGGATTTTACACGTAGACTACTTGGACAAGTATAGGGCCTGTAGTTGCCTATTAGAGGCTCCTGGTGTTGTTTGGTTTGCGGCTTCCTTTCCTCCTCTTGGTTTTCCGTGGAGGGACATGCCATATGTCAGAAATGGTTCCAACCACCGGCGGCGGCGGGTCCACTGGCAGGAACACATGGTTCGCCTTTCTCTCATGTTCGGCTCATCCCACCAGTCGCCGACTTGAACTTTCGGGGATTCTGGACTTCGGGGCGCGAGTTCCGCCGTTAGCGACGCACGACATGGAGCGGTGACCCCGCAGCCCTGATCTTCTTTTGGGGGGATCCAGACCCAGAGACCTACCAAGAAGCCCTGGAGTCCAAGATAGTCCTAGCTGGGCGCGTGAGGTCGTGAAGACACCAGAGAAGGCGAGCTCGGGTAGGACTCGATTCTGGGATAACTGTGTACTTGTGCTCTGATTGAGATGTACATTACTGACAACCTGGTGCAGGATGCCCATAGGCTATCCAACGAGTGTCGCATCAAAAGGAGTTGTTGATGCAGTTGTGATGCAGCCGCGACGCAGGTGTGATGGCAATGTGGCAGTTTCTTTAAGATCCGGTGACGTAATCCGGTTCCGAGCCGTTTGAGGTAGTAGAGGAAGACTCAATTCTTAAATTGCAACATGTGGGTTCCTGGGTCTGAATTGTGTGATCCATTATATATATAAATGTCTAAAGTCTAAAGACCTATAAAGACTCTCTCATGTGTAAAACCTCTAAGCAAAAATCAGTTGTGATGGCCATCAGTCATGAGAACAAGCTTTGGTTTTGCTACTCCAAACCAGACATCAAATAAGTCACAAGTCGCTTGATCAGCCAGAAAGATCCATTTGGGGGTGAAATCTCATCTCACAGTCGGAACTCTTGATCTCAAAGGTTGCTTTTCTTTTTTTCGGGTTTGGACGAAAAGCATTTGGAGCGTCCACTGTTGAGTTGGGACACTCAGATCCACTGGGAGCCCGAGATGTCCGACGGGATGAAAAGGGACCCATTTTAGGAGCTGGGATGCATGGGAGGAAGGTCCATCATCGCAACGGATTTTTCAGGTGAGGAAACACACTTCCATGGGGGCCCGGGCCCTTTTTTGGGCAGTTCAAGGAGCCGGTCCACTTGGACCGCGCTTCGGAGCCTCGACCGTCGACGCGTGAGCTGCACTGCCGTCCTCCGCAGCTCTCAGCTCAGCCGATTGACGACTTCACCGGCGACTTCGCCCGAGACCATCGCAGCCATGGCACCCGCAGAGATCGAGACCATCGTGGAGAACGAGCACGGCAGCGCCTTCGAGGTCGGAGCTCCATGTGTTGATGGAGCGCGAGCTGGAGGTTTGGTGGAGGTAGCGGTTTGATGTTGAACGAAGTCCGAGGATGTTCCATTTGGGATCTTTCACAAGAGCCTTTTCTATTAATCTTTTGATCTTCGCCTGGATCACCGCCAAGGGGACGCGTCTTGATCAATGCATGTCCAGCTGTGTTCTGACAGACCTGTACTGCCAGTAGGCCACAGAAACGTCTCATGTCCATTCAGGTTGGCCAGGACCGTCCAAGACATCATTCGGTCCGGCCGGTGCATCCAACCAAATCCTGGTTCTTCACACCTCTATCTATGGGGGCTCCGACAGCGGGTCGTAGAAGGGTGGAAGGGCCGGCCCGGATGGTCCAAATCGATATTTTGTCTAGATCATAATACTGTAAATGGTTAAGATTGTTCAGGGTGAGTTCGGTGGTGCGCGATTAGTGCTTTGTTCAACCTCTTGAGACTATAGATGTGCCCCCCTCCGAGGTGCGCCCTCAGTCTGGCTCGCCCAAAGCACTCGGATCCCGGCAGTTCTTCGGCCTCAGCGGTGTCCGGTCGGCTCTGGACCTGCCGAGAACCTCCGCGCGCGGGGACCGAACGGCCGCTCGTTCCCTTCGAGCAGGTGCAGATCAAATCGCCGGGTGCGGACAAGACGCCTGGAGGATGTAAAGGGCGAGACGGGAGACCGGTGTGTTTGAACCAAAGAACCATCCTCCCGTCGGCCAGGGCGCCAGGCCGCAAGGCTGCATGTCCAACGGACCCCTCCATGGCGGTTTTCGGGCGGGGACGGCTGTTTTGTGGGCTGGAGAGAGTTTGTGTTGATCGCCGGGTGGATCGAGATGGAACGTGGGAGGGTTCAGAAAGCTGTGAGAGAATCCACCGAAACGCTTTGCAAGAAGAGAAGGAGATGAACACCATTGAACATATTGAACGGGTCCTGTCCATTTGAGACAAACCTGCTCTCTTGGTGCCGTGCTGTGGCACATGGAGGGTGCGTGGTTCATGGCATCATGGTGACATTGCACGAAGAGCTCTTTTCGACGACTCTGGGAATCGAAGTTGAGATCCTTCGAAGAACAGAATCTTAAGTTGAATTCTCTCTCTACCCTGGGAGTCCAAAAGCCATCTTTAAAACGTGATCTTTAGGTGACCAAAGAGGGTCGGGTGTGAAACACCCAAACAAATCGGACGTCGTCGCCATGGTGGACGTCGGACCGGACAACAGATCCGTCCGGTCGACCGAGGCTGAGGACGGCCGCCCGCCTGCGCCTGGAGTCCTACGAGAAGAAGCCGCTGCCCACGTTGCTGGGCTCCAAGGGTCCGGCGGTGCCGCTCTGCGAGCAGCGCGCCGATAAGGCGACCAGTCAAGGGGCAAGGAGGGGGTAGAATGTGGAGTGGTCAGGACTGTGGTCATGCTTATTCCTTGTTGTTGGATTTGAAGATCTTGAGGCGGCTTTAACGAGCGCCTGATTCTTTCCATAGAGTAAACTGCTATCGTCATTGCGGACATCAGCACGGAAACCAGAGCCCCCCAAAAATCCGGAAATTGTGAAGAGATCACATGATGACTTCACTTTTTTCCACAACCTTCAAAAACGACTGCACCCACACTGGCCTTTTGCAGCAGACTCTCACTGCTTTGGTCCTGGGTCACTTCTAACTCAACAGACTTTACACACTTTATACTCTCAAACTTTGTGCATAAATGGTCATACATGCGCACAACTACACATAACTACACTATATATAGACTAAAGACTAAAGATGCCCGCATAGGTAATTTGAAAGAATGCAAACTAAACACAGCCAGTGCATTCCATGCGTCCGTTCCACCATGCGTTTGAAGAACATGCCAGGCTCGCCAGCAGAACGAGCAGAAGAAGGTGTGACATCGGCAAGCTGAACGACTTCTGGGGGTAGAAGTGGAGGTTCTGCGGTTCATGAAAGGCGTTCCATGACAGAGATCACCTGCAGGCACAACAGGAAACCACTGCGAAAGTGGTGGTCACCAGCATTTGACCTCCAAGTGATGCATCCGGGGGACAAGTCATGCACATGGGATAATGAGTTCATGGAACTGTGCCTTGCACAGAAAGCCTTTCTGGCCTTCGAAGACAAGGGCTGCCCTATAGTTTGGTAGTCTATAGATGTCTATAGAGTCTGTCTAGAGTCTAGAATCCTTTGTCAACAATGAGATTGTTCACCATTGAATCACGCGATTGAAATCATTTGAAATCCTATCAGCATGATCTGCAAGAGTTGGTAGGTGAGAAGCCAGCGACGCGACTTATGGATTTGTAAGGTGCTTGGAGAAGGTCTGTAGTTTGCAAGAATTTGTCTTGACCTGAGATTTGGGGGCATGTAATGTACCACCAATCGCAGAGGCATGTGAACCTTCCAACAACACCGAACCATGCTATATTACAGTGGAAACGAAGTTGTATTGTTAGATCACCAAAGAGCTAGTGCAATACACCAAACGAACCTCAATGGACGAAAGCTCCGAAGACATCTGCCACGAAACTAAACTATATATTGAATATGTTCCTTTTCTGACTGTAAGTGAGAACTTCAACACGATTGGGGATCCGGGATCCAGGTACAATTATACCGGGCATGCTCGAACCTGTTTAATGAGTGTGATGCGGCTCGCGTGGCGATTATAAACACGCGGCTCGCCGCGTTGGGGCGCGGTCTCCGCTGCTTTCAACAAACACCAGGAGACGGCCGAACGTGTGCGCCTGGAATTCCAGCCTCTGGGCGCACAGTATAGAGAGATGGTTTGAGGAAAAGGTGTAGCTGGACCAACTTGAAAGTGGTAACGATTGCAGCAGGAGCAGGATGAAGATGAGGAGCACAGGAGTAGGAGGAGGAGGAGGAGGAGCAGCAGCAGCAGCAGGAGTAGTAGCAGGAGGAGCAGTAGCAGAAGCAGTAGCAGTCGCCGTCGTTTGCTGGCACATCCTTAGAGTATTGGCTTATGACTCATGAGGTGATGCATTCAAGATCACTCAAGTTTGGATTCTACCAGGGCAGTCACCGAAGATTGGGAACTCTTTCTTTTGTTGGCTTGCTGTCAAGGTCCCTCAGCAGCTGTCTTTAAGTGTGCCAGGATCCGGTCTCAGATGTCAAAGTCTCGACGCAAAAAGCACACCCAGTGCCTGCCAGCCTTGGGATTCTTCTGTTTTTTCCCGCCCGCCCGCGCGCGTGGTGTGGAAACAGCGATCTCCAAGGAGCACGGCGGACGCGAAGCGTCAAGAGATGGCGCAGCAACTGGAGAAGGCAGATGGACTGCGCCAAGGCGGGGGGGGAAGCAGTGGAACGGGATGGTGCGGGTGTGGAAGGTGATGTACAATGTATTCTGGTGATTAATAAACCTGACCTGTATGAACTAAGGTCTAAAAGGTGGAGGTGGTTATATTCATCAACAGTCGAAAAGTGGGTTTCCTAGAGAGGTTGAACAGCCCTGTGGCCTATTCCAGAGGTTTGTCCAGCCAATTCTGAGAGAGGTTGATTCAACAGCTCGGCTGACTGTCATGGTGCAGACCGGACCTCCAGAAAATCTGCAGACATCGGATGCCACACAAAGCTGGACTCCCAGAATCCTGCGGGCTTTTAATGATCACGTACCGTTTCAGGGACTTCTTTTGCTTGTATGATGGTCTAGTGATCTTCGTGCGATTTGTTTCAGTTCTTTGAGGAGAGCGGCGTGTCGTGTTTCAGTGTGATTCGCAATGTGTGTGTGTGGATCTTCAGATGGAGTCCAGGAAAATGCGACATGCAGACACGCAGACACACGCACACAGAGATCGGTGTACAGACGGTGTACATACGATTTGAATGCCACAAACCCTCAAGAAACCTCTTTAAAAAGGAACCCAGTCGGACATCTAAAACTGCTCAAGACACTGTCGATGAAGAGAAATGGAAGGGTACAACATGTCCGCAAGCTGGGTTCTCGGCTTAGCCCAGTCACCATAACAGTAGAGTTAAGAGGTACGTCTATATGTCTAAGGATGTCTAAGGTGTCCCTTTTAGATATCACGACCATACCATGACAGTCTTCATTGGCAGTGAGTATGGTGGTCGGATGCCCCCCCTGCTCTGCGAATCTTGCCAACAAAGTCTTAGAACGTCCCTCAAAGGGATCGACCCCACTCGGGCGTCGCGCGTGTTCGAGGTTCGAGCAACGCCGACTTGCCAGGTGTTTCACCGTCTCACCCTGGCAGCCAGATTTCGGTACTGCCAGCTCCTGACACAGGAAGCACAAAGATGCACAAAGTATGGCAAGCAAGCACAAGTGACGTCAATAGAACCCCACCCCACCCCACCCCATCTATGAGGTGCATCAAGTATGTTTGCAAGTACAAGTGACGTCATCATTAACCGTCCAAACTACCTTCCGATGACACGTTTTGGCAGAGAGTCCGCGACGCCCTCGTGGGGCGGTACCCAAAAACAACATTCATGACTCCAAGGTGCACGTCAAAACCCGGGAACCCTGTTGACCCTGGAAAATGAACATATTTCTCAACCTACCACTGTAGGATGAGGTTTTAACCCACACACACACACACCTTGTTCGCCTTCGTTCGCAGAATCCACTGCCTTGGAAGTCAGGTGTCTTGGCAAGCCGCTCGAAGCAAGCGGGTCAGCACTACGAGAAGGCCCGGTCGACCGTCCCCAATACGACCGACCCGCACGGGATCCGCCGGCGCTTCTCCGCGGGATCTGGCGGACAAGCCGGCGCAGGTCATGGAGAAGAAGGACACCACGCAGCAGCGCTCAGTGATGACGGCGGCGGAAGCGCGCGATCGCTTGACGGCCATGTTGCTCCAGAAGGTGGGGAAGCGCAGCGCGGGGACCCGAAGAGGTGCCGCGGGGCACGCGTGGGTCCTGGCAGTCGTTGCACCATCCGTGGAAGATGGGCGTAGCCAGTCTATGGTGTGGAATTGTTGTGTGAAATGAGGTATGAACGGTTGTACGATGTTGTACGTAAGTTCATGGAAATGGTTCATCATTTGCGGTGCAAACTTTGCGAGCCATGGGCCAGTTGCCTGAGCAGAGCAGGAACAAAATCATCCAAGATCCACGTGGGAGATGACCACCTTTCCTCGGCTCGTGGGTGATGACCACCTGCATGTCTCTCTCCGCCGTGCAGGAGGAGTTGCGTGAGCATCAAATGGCCGAACGTTCCAAGCGTGCCATCAAGCACAACGAGGCCGTGGCGGACAAGGCGCCTGACCTCCATACACGCACAGTGCAGCGTGTGCGGTTGTGATCTGGCGAAGTCCGAGAACGCGCGGAAGGACACTTGGGGCGCCGCGGCGCTACTTCCCCCAACGATAACTGGGTTTGATGGAAGTAGCCCAGTTACAGTTGCTGAAATCAATAGAAATCAATAGAAATCATATAAACTACGCAATTATGCTAACTGTCACGAAGAAGTCAATGTTCATGGAACCATCACCGACATCTGTCAAAAAAGAAGAGGGAAAAAGTGAAGCAACATTGATTGGGGACACACCCACTTTAGGAATCTCAAAAGTTGTGTGCCACCTTTTCAGTTCCAGGCAAAACAAAGTTAAAACTGCAACAAATCGGAACACCATCTCACCAAGTCTGCGAGTCAGTCTGCGAAAAAAGAGACCGTTTTGGACCGCAAAATCAACCATTTTGTAGTCAACACTGAACACTGTGTCGTGGTTTTGTTTATTATGTTTCACGCAAGTGTTTTACTATCGTACAAGCCGAGTTGGTCAAACCCCACAGGCCTTCTAAAGCTACACAGTGCACGAACTTTTTTGGACCGCCCTGCATCCAACACAACACCAGCTCAAGCCTCCTGCACCCCAGCCCCCCCAAAGAATGGCCACTGCCGAAGTAATCCTATCCACCTAGTATTAAATGCCCCATCCCCAAGTAAAATAGGATTGGCCTGGAGATCATGAGGCCACCTCAAATAGCTTCAAACTTCATGTTTCAAGAGTCATTAGGTGGGCTCCAAACGGACTAGGTCAGAACACTTCAGGTCTTGAAAAACCTGAAGCAGTCGGTTGAGATCAGAACCCAAACGTCACTTGATGGGCCACTCAGTTCGACAAGAAAACTGAAACGGCCTGAACCACTGATTTGCAAACCTATGTGAACCTATGCGAACATCACTGTTTTTGCTCGACCTTGAATTAAGCAGTTACCTTAAGGGCCGAAGAACCATTTCAGTTATATTGTCCTGACCTAGCCCATTTGGGCCCACAATGTGCTGGATCTAGACTTTAAGGGTAAGCGCCTCATTAGTATTAGTCAGTTTTATAGTAAATTAAGTTTGTTAGGTTATACTGCTTACTACTTCCTTCCTTCCTTCCTTCCTTCCTTCCTTACTTACTTACTTGCTTGCTTGCTTGCTTGCTTACTTACAGTACTTACTTACTTACTTACTTACTTACTTATTTATACTTACTTTGGTGGAAACACTTTTGAATTGTGCTGGGAAGAAGACTTTGGTGTAATGTGTTTTCCATAGAGCCACAGATTAGTTTCGATTGTTGAGCATGTTTGTCCTTTAACATAGTTTTGGCAATTTGAGGGTCAAGTGCAGAAAAGGTGCTGCAGTTTGGATTACATTTGCCACTTGTTGGCGTTTAAGTTCAAAATTGTGTGATTGCTCTTTGGGATTCTTCACTTTCTGACTGCTTTGTCAAGTTATGTCCAGACTTCATGTTTTTGGTTCAGAACAGCAACTTGCACTACATTCCCACCTCACCACCTCGTGTTCATAGGTGGCGCTGCCCATAGGTTTAGTACTTTCCACTGCATTAAGGCCTTTGTAGCACTTTTAGACCAGGTTTGTAAAGTGCAATTTCATTATCTATGGTTTGTTTGAGAAACCCTACTGGTTCCCTTGGTGTTTGAACACCCTGAAACAGGACGAAAACTGATTTATGTGTGAACATTGAGCAAACTCGTAGCCGGAAATCATGGACTTTTTTGACATCGCTACAGTTGATGGCTTTTCAGGCGTTTCTCGAAGGCATCCGGTTCCGGCTGGTAAATGGTGATGAACTACATGCAAGACCCGAGACCCGAGAGGGCTGTGCAAGGGAAAAGTGATGAAAAGGATTGAAAAGGGTCTTAAGATGTTTTGAGGGTTGGTTGAGGCTGGGAAGATGCGTGGGTTTTGGCTTCGCAGGAAGTATCAGGTGCGAGCTAGAGTTTTCTTTTTGTTTCTCCCGAAGCTAGATCAATCAAGCTAGCTTGGCCAACCAGGTTTAGACTTAGTTTCCTGTCGCGCGTTTGGGTCTTGTGCAAGGACGGAGCTTGCACAACCCATGTGGACCAGTTCGGATGCTGTTTGTCCATGAAGCTGGACCAGCTGAGCTTTGGCTCTTCGGACACCCGGGGACCACACTCCAATTCGGAAGCTGACAGCGGGACGGAAGACTGACCCTCCAGACTAGTATTGAGTCCATGGAGCCCATATGAGTGTACATCCTTATATACAGCCAACGGTTTCGTCTTCGGAATTGGATTCTAAACCTTAAAACATCAGAGATCACATCTCTCCAAATTGCTCTCCTTCGTTCCCCCCACAGGTGCAGCAACAGAAGGAGGCGGGACCTGTCCGTTGTTCACTCGCCTTTGCTTTGGCGCACTGGTGCTCTGGCCGGTCAAGCATTGGGGGAATAGCCGACCGGATGGGCTTTCTCCGACCAGGAAGAGGACAGACGCCAGGTTTTGGGCGTTTTGGGAGCTTAACCGCCAAGTCTATCCAAGTCTTACCAGGTCCTTTGGTAGGTTTAGATGGCCCACGATGGCCCCGAACATCACTGGCCCGGGCGCCCTGAAACTGAATCACCATACGAACCCGGGGGGGTGCCATCTATCCTGAATTGGCAAGCTCAGTTGCAGCACGCAACGCCTGCAGCACCTGTAGCTGAGAAGATGGCCGATCTTCCCGAGCTCGTTGCGTGGGACCTCGCAGGTGATGGAGAAGAATCGCTTGAAGTCCAAGGCGGGAACTGCTGGCGCAGCAGTGGGGTGTGGGACCTGCGTTCGCAGTGTGGGAGCGTTGGCATGTCTTGCAGGGCCTCAAACTGGTTGACTCTGTTGGCTTGCGGAAGTGGCTGATAGTGTCCAAGAGTCCGCAGCATCTTGCTTTTCGTTGTTTTGCATGAATTGACCTGTTGTGGTACCGATTGGATGTGAAAAGGTTGGACTATGTTGGACTGTTAGACAAGACCTTTGCGAAATCGATTCTTGAATTCTGAGGAGAATTCCAGGTGGTCTGAGCACAGGTCCGGGATGAATCGGCCATCGGGTCAATCAACAAATGTGCGAAAATACCATGGTCCTGGAACCCCAAACAACCAGAAAGAAATGGATGTTTCCCCAAACAACCATTTCCTATGTAAAGGATTTCAATTGCCATATTGGAACAACCATTTGTTTCTGGTTGTTTGGGTTTCCAGGGTGATCAGTTGCAGCAAAAAGCGCTCATCTCAGCCCCATTGAGGTCAGCGCAGGGTGAGGTTTTAGGAGGAACGTCTATGGTCAGCTGGGCGTCTAGGGATTAAACAGTGTTATAATCATTGTTTCAATTCGAGAATCTTGCTTGGGTCAGGTGGTTTTTATCACATTCCCTCCATCCGCCTTGCTGCAGTTTCTCCAGTTGAACCTGCCAAATGGGAAGACCACGAACCTTGGCACCCACCAGGCAACCACTTTTTGAACATATCATGTTTCACGCTACCAACATCGGCTCTTTTAGATACCGCAAGCGGTATGTCGATCCAGCTGAATGTGAGGCGCTGCCGGCCGCGGAACGACTCATGCAGCTGGGCGTTGCATGCAAGACTTGACTGTACGAACTGGCAACCATGTTCATGCTACTGTACTTGTACTGTAAACTGTAAACTGTACACCTACGTAAGACATACAAACCTTGATGCGCAACCCCAACATCCTGAATAGATCAGATCCCCAGCGGCAGTTTTCAGATGGGAGTCGTCCAAAAACCCTGCACATAGGAGCAAGAACGCTACTAGGGGCTCCTGGCATCGCTACTAGGAGCAAGAACGCTACTATTTACAGTAGCATTACATTTTATTGATCGTTGGTGGTCTAAAACCTGCATCACGCAAGGTTTGCACAAGGCCGAAGCAAGGTTTTGTGCAAGGGTAATTTGCACTTAAACAAACTGTAAAATACGCGTGGTTACGAATGTTACTGGCTTGTGTTCTGGGGAGTGGAACTGACACCAAGGGGTGATTTAAGAATGCTTCCTTGTCTCCACCCTTTCGTTTGATGATGTGCTTCAAAGATTTCTTACCTGATCCTTTCCACCGCTTTCCACTCCCTCTCGGACAGCCAGAACATCCGCCCGCCAGAGCCAGAAATGAACGGAGGGTTCAACCGGAGAGTGTGACGAATATTGCTGGATTCCTCATCGAACGAAAGTGGAGCCCTTCAAACCCTGCTGGGCTCTGCACAAGTGGCCGGCAAATTTCTGCTACAAGAACAGGCAGAACACGAACACATGGCATGGAAAGGTACACAGGAGTTGTCAAAGGAACGCAAGGAGGTTTTTCAGGCATATTTTTGTGAAAAAGAATTCACATTCGTGTTCAAAACCTTGAAAAGTACATGAGATCACCCCAAGCCTGGTCGCTTCTTGTAGCATATTGTAGCCAACGTTGTTGATGCCCTTCTTCCGAGGAACCTGAGTTTGCGCCTTTATGAGCGACACTTGGTGGCGTGCCTGGCACCTTGTCTGAAGCTAAGCGACCGCCGACGTCTCTCCCCGACCTCGATGGAGATTTCACGGCGAAGAACGGCACTGAAATGCACCGGTTTGAAGGTTCTTCCCAGGTCGGTCGGGCGTGGAACCTGGGGGCGCGGTGCGGTGCGTTTGAAGAAAGTCCATGGTAGGTGCTGAATCCAAGAAAACATGCAGAGTGCCCTTGATGATCCACAGGTGTCCAGACAGTTCCAAGGTTTCGCTGGTAGGGCCATTTAGTGGGTGCAAATGATGAGCCTAGACCTTTCTTTTGTACTGGCCGGACGTGCAGAGGATATCGGAGGATGAACATCCATTCTGCTGCTGGTCTTTGATGTTTCCACCAAATTTTGATACTCCCCTGCTTCTCTGACATGTAAACCCCAAAACCACTGGGTTGGTATTCCGGAAATGGTCGAACCCACAGGGTGAATGACAGTCCGCGGGATTTTTCACACCCACTGGATCACTGCTTGCTGTGGAGTTCCACTGGGCCTTCACAGGATTGACTAGTCGGATGGCGGCGTGCTGGACGACGACACAGTGCTGAAGTCGTACAGCAAAGAGCTGGGTGATTTTAAACCGTGAATCGTATGCCCACATGTGACAAATCTTATGGTTCCTTTTGCGCGCTCTGGGTGTTCCAGGTGTGTGACTCTAAACTTCAAGCATCTTTAAGCAATTCTTTTCTTTGTTCAAAGCTGCTTCATGAGAAGAAATTCGACTTAAAGCAGGATTCCACGGATTCAAGACATGAGATTGAGATGCGGGTGGATGGCTGGAGGGTGCAACTACCTTCGAGCACGGTCGCCCCTGATCAAGTCGATTTCAGCCCATCGAGCTAGCGGAGGACGGGCATACGACAAGCTGCTTGACGAATTCAGTATCCAGAGGGGCTTTCGTTCAGGAGTAACGAACCGATAGGCTGACGGCGTACAGATGCGCTCTTCGTCCGTTCAGACATTGATGTTCTCTCAGAGACTCGTTGTCCTTGCCGTTGAACACATGGTGTGTGGGTTTCTGACGCCTTAATCTGCCGAGCCTTCGTTTGAAGAAGCCCTCTGTAGGCCAGTGAATGACAGTTACGGATGCTGCGGATACAGATCTCTGCAGGTCCTTCGACAGAGAAATCCACTCACAGATCTCTTCATCAAACTCAGTTAAATAATGTTAAAGAAACGGCTCTTCTGTTGCTCAGCTTCAGGAAGAATCGTCCTGATCTGCTCATGAACTCTCTGGTTCATCATGCTGAAGTCACTGTGTTTGGATCCTTTCCGTCTTGTAGACCAATGAATGTACGCCCTACGGGCCCCCTGCCGCGCTGCGGCCTTTAATGCGCGACGTGTGGCAGAGACCTTTCCTCCAGGCTGTAGTGGCAAAAGAGGCTGTTTTCGTCCGGGTTCACACCTTAGCATTAGCATACCTTAGCCACTTTGGGGGGTTCAAGCTAACACAGAGAGAATATAAATGATGAAGAAGTTTTGAGGAGCAAGTCACGTCTAACCTTTCTGGAAGTGAGTTGGGAATCATGCAGTTCGGGTGCCAGCAAACAGTAGCTACCCCATGCTACAGTACCCTACAAAATAGATGGTTGGGGGACTACGAGTTTCTCCAATGCCACAGCTCAACGGCTACGGTTCAATGCAGGAATTGCCAGTCTCCCACACAAGATGATCTAGTTGCGTTTCCGAGACGAAACCATGACGACGGTGACGACGATCCACCACGGTGTCGACGTCATCGGTGGGACGCCAGCGCTGGCGCTCGTCGATAGCGGTCGTTGGTCCACGCCACGCAAAGACAATGGCAGGTGAAGAAGAATGGCTACGACACCAGGGTCACAGCCATTCTGGACGGGACGTGTGTCACGTCGGAAGCGTGTGGCCGCGTTTCTACCTATATCCGAAAGTGTGCCAAGTGCCATCCAAAATCATCCAAATATGTATTACATTATTCTGCAGAGGGTTTTGTCCAAGGACCTGGTGCAGACTTGTATGGGCAACTTCATGAAGGCCAACGAATAGTTTACAGTCATATATAGATAGGCTGATGAATAATGTGCTCTGCCAGTGGTTCTGCCTAGTTTGTCTCAATGAGGTGTTCAATCTTTGAAAGAAGAATGCATATGGCGTTGATGTGGAGTATGTGTATCTTCGGATTCTGATGTCCCAGCTCTTCAGCCCAGCCCTGTCGTCTTCGGGTACCTCTGGGAGTACATACCTCAGCTGACCTCAAGGAGGAAGGACAGCCTTCGGCGCAGCTGGCACTGAAGGTCTCGCACCTGGAGGCCCCGTGACCTTCCGCCGCGCGCGCCGGACGGGTGGTTGCCTTTTTTGGGCCACGGCCGGTGGCGAGGGTGGGGACGTGAACGGAGTGCAGACCTACCATGACCTACCCTTGGACGAACACATCACATGGAAGACCACATGGCACCACCTGTTTGTAGAGGAGAAGAGCCATCCCACGGACCATGCCATCCACTTCCATGTGATGTGCTAGTCGGAGTGTACCCCAAAGGAAAGCGTCCTTTCGATATGAGCTTTCCGCCAGAGTACAGACTCAAGCTGCCGTGCTTGGTGAGTCCACCCGTCTTTTCGCGCTGGTCGGAAGTTCCTCGGATGTCCGCAGGCAGACGTACAGCAACTTCGGCACCGAAAGGAGGAGTTAGAGCGAGAGAATGAGGCCAGGGGGCGGAGCAGGGTTTTCAGGAAAGCGTGGTCAAGGTGAGGAAGGACTTTCGGTGGTACGGGTGTGCAATCGGCTCCAGAATTCTTGGAACCCTCGGGGCTGAGTGGCTTGGTTCAGTTTCATCTCCTTTCTCCTGTCATATATGATAAAACTATGTATAATTCATACCCCCTCTTTTGGATTGACCAGCCTCTTTATATTATGGGGCTGTTTATTAATCAAGATTTTACATGAATGGCCTGTTACCGACAATCCAAAATGGGTGTGGTTAAGCACGCTTTTGTCATTGTATATGACTCATTTAGTATAAGAAAAGAACACGATGACCTCTGTATAATTTGTGTGTTGGGAGGTCAAAGGCTTGCTCAATAAAATCATGTGTGTTGGCTGTTAACAGTTTCATTGAGGTTCAAAAAAGGACCATCAAAATCATCAGGAAGGACACACATCAAAACATTTGCAACATCATGCAACAATTAAATGAACATTTCCTGAGAAGCGATTTCTCAAACGTTGCGCCATGAGTGCAGCCTTAACCACTGACTGATTCATCACCCCCTTTGATATGAAGAGGTTTGTACTGTACAATTCAAATCAGGGTGTATCATTCATCAAGAGTCTACAGCCTCATTCCTGTGAGGCCGACATGTCTCACACGGTCAATCGATTCGCGCGGTGCACGACGCGCGCGACTCTGCTTAGCTTGGAAGACAGGCGCTGGCGGGTGCTGCCTGTCGACCTGACCTGGAGCAACGGGTGAAGGATCTGCAGGTGGATTCCGTAAGCCCGGCTGGGTGCGCTGCGCACGCGAGTGGGTATGGCATGTGCGGACGCATGCGACTTGCAGTTGTGTAATGTTGGAGCAATTGGACACAGGGCCAGCTTTGGGGTATACTTTAAGCTGTATCTATGCGAGTTGATGCTTGCAAATCGGTGGGGGATCATTGAGCACTTGATGTTGGGGCATTTGTTGGAGATCATCATGAGATCATCCACAACTCATCAACAATATGTGCTTTCCTGGAACATCAATCCAGAAGTAGGACATCACTGAGGCAGTTTTTGCTGGGTTTTCAAGCCTCCAGAAGCGCCTTCACCGGGTCAGCGAAGGATCCAGAAAAGGAGCCAGTTCCAAGTCTGAAGGTAAGGTCTGGAAGAGAATGAAACCTGAAGACATCTGTACATTGGTTGTAGGGCAAATCGTCCTTCCAGTCTGGTCGTCCATGCCATCAGGTTTGGGACCCAACCTCCTGAGGGGTGTGGACCCAACCTCAAGCCTTCGATGCGTGGGAGAAAGGGCCGATTTCAGGCCCTGCATTCACAGATATTCACAGGACCAGTTCTCACCGTTGACCTTCAGCGCGTGACGCGTCTGGCGTGTGGGGTGCCCGGAAAGGCAGAGGTGGATAAGCTCCGGATGAGGAAGGATGAATTGGAGCGAGATCAGGAGGCCAGGAGGGAACCCAGGGACCGGTGGCACTCCGAACGTGGAGGGCGGCGATGGGACCTCCGTCGAAGAAAGTTCGCACGGAAGTGGAAATCCATGGATATGCATGGACATGCATGGCTGCTGGAAAGACCCTGAAATCCATTGAAATCCTCTACAAACAGGACTTTGTCCACTTGCATGTTTGTTGGATGGAGGGATGCGGATGCACCCACTTACCATATTACTATATCGACAGCTCCGCGCCAGGCATGGGGCTGCAAAAGACGCGATCTCAGCACGCAGCTGGCGGAGTGCCAGGCCCGGGCGGCCTGCTCCGAAAAGGGCATTGGTCCTGAAAACACGGGGACTCCAACCTAAGAGCATCTAAGAGCTATGGCAGCTATGGACTCCTGCAACCCAACATCCAGCTGGACCGGCTTGCCCTTCAAGGACGGCGGTGAAGAAACGCCTAACTTGATGCTTTTTTGATCTTTGTATTTGGCACTTGCTTCACAGGCGGCAAGGGAGAAGCTCGAGGACCGGGACGGTTGCCACGCAGTGTCTTGTTTCACGCATCTAGTGAATCTAGTGCTTGTGCTCAGCCTATCGGGTCCGCATCGGAAAAGAAAAGAACATGGCATCTGCGCAAAGTTCTTGAAACTGCCAGGTTCAGAAACTAGGCTTCAACATGGTTCATAGTTAACAAGTGAATACAGTTCAGCGGCACTTGGTCCAAGAACCGTAGCTATTCATCTCTATCCTGGAGGGTCCCCGTGCAGCTGTGTGGTTGCTCGGTTGCTGGTCGTCCAGGAGAAGCAGGTTGCGATCAGGGCTTGTGCTCCAAGGGAAGTGTGAACCCCCTTGTCTAGCTATTGGCACGAAATGATGTGGGAAACACACCCAAGTTGAAACTGGCGTTTGATGGTTGTTTGTTTACTTTCCAGTGAGTCTGACAGTTTGTTTTTTGATTCATATAAACCTCTTCCGCAAGAGGAAGAGGTCTTGGAAGTGGAAGAAGCCCAGGTGTAGTGAAGTCGGTCCCCAACAGCCCCAACAGGCAAAGCCTGTCGCCCAAAGCAACTGGCAAACTGGCAAGTAAACCCTGGGGTATTCAGATGGTACCGAAGTTCTTACCAGCCAAGCCTAGACTTGCAAGTTTGGCTCTGGGGTTTTGAGCAAAGCCTCGACCGCCCTCGACCGGCCGAGCTTCGTGTCGATACTCCAACCGATCCGACCGCGCAGGAGGAGTATCGACAGCACCGGGCGGAGTCTGAGCGGCGTGCCGAGCTGGAGAAGCAACAGGTGGGACAGGGTTTGCGCAGCCCAAGAGGTGTTTCATGTTTGTTGGGTTGCGCAGCCATGCCTAGCCCGAGACAGTCGCGAAGCTGGGGGGCTGTGATGATTTTCAGGGGCAGCCATGACCTCAATTAAGGTTTTGTGGAGTGGATGGGGATCAATAGTACACTTCCCCAGACTTCCGGTCTCTTAAGGGCTATCCAACACATACAATCTCCAAACAAAGCCATCAATTCCTGGTTCTGGAGGT